TCAGGGTGAATTGCTTAAATGCTTTTGGCTTGAAAAGCAGTATTTAAGTGTGCAACCTATTAAAGAAAAGAACAAGTAGATGCTAGTCTCTTCATCCTAGACAGAAAGGGACTTACAAAAACTAATATGCCTTCATGGGATGAAGGGACTATGCTAGGTTCAGTCAACAAGGCAATTCAAGAGAAAGGGGCATTTTCCCTCTTCTCATTCAGGGCTGAGCTTTACCAGTCTTGGGGGGAAATCTGGAGGGCTCAGAAGATGCAGAGGGAGGAGAGAAAACAACAGTGTTTCTCAGGAACGTGTCAGTCTTCAAGGAGACTCTCTTATGTCCTTTCTCTCAGGAAAAAACGAGACTTGGAGTACAGGCATGAAGATCTTAGGCTGTGTTGTGTCTGGGCTATGGGGTTCTTCATGAGACTGTGAGCTGCAGTCTGCCCAGAGCTCAGCCCTTGCTGCCTGCCACTGCAGCTTCAAAGACTCTATTCTTTTTTTTGGAAAGAGCCAGCAATTAATATAAGCTTAGTGAAATAAAAAGAGGATCTGAAGGTGTGGGGCAGCAGCAGGCTGCCTGTCAGTGTCTGGGTATGTAGGTGAGGCTGTGGCATTCCCATGGGCTGGGATGATATCCCAGAAGGAGCAGTGCCACTCACTGTTGACTGTGTGCAGAGAGGAGGCAGAGGTTTAGGTGAGGTAGTGAAATACGAAGGTGAAAGGAGAGATTCAGAGAAGTAAGTGATGCTGGCAGATTTGAGGAGGGAAATGCATGAAGGGATTGCCCTACACTGACAGCTGCCTGCACTGCCCACTCAATGTTCTGGCTCCTCATAGTGTCCAGGGTATAAATAAGGAGCTGGCTCATTTCTGGAGGGACTTTCTTTTCAAGGCAGATCCTTCATGGACTGCTTAATCAAGATGGATTCAGGAGGCCAATTTCAAGTCATCAGTCTTCTTGCATTATGCATTTCCTTTGATGATTGAGCCCACAAGCAGTGGAGAGGAATATAAATGTGTGACTTGCTGACACCTTGCCCAGCAACCAAGGCAGCGAATGGGACAGTGAGACAACCTTTGGCTGAAAACTGCTTGCAGTTTAAGAACAGCATAAAGAACAGATGCATCAAGGAAAGCACAATGAGAAAAAACCCTTTCCCAGTACTGTTTTTTATTTGAAACCACAAAGGTCTGTAACAGCTGCCCATATTATTTACTAGCTGCAGGACTTCTGCATGTAATCGCTCTGTGAGGTTCATTAGTGCAGAGAGGAGCCCATGGTATAGGCTAAAGAGCAAGTTTCCTCCTTTGAACTGAGCCTGGTTGTTGCTGGAACAGTGTGTTGCAGATGCTGTGAGTCAGAGCAGACGTGGAGGAAGGAGCTTGCTCAGCCCATCAGTGCCATGGGGCCAGATTTTTGTGCTTTATTGTCAGCCTGCTAATTCCATGGCATTTGGAGAAAACCAGGCATTTTCCAGGCATGTGCAAGGCAGGAGTTTGTGCTTTCTGGTTTGCTGATGTGGTTTTGTGAAGTGATTTTAAGTGGAAGGGACAGCTAATCCTGCTGGAGGGCAGGGGGTGGGTTGACTGACGTGGTGTCCCTTCCAGCCTGTTTTTGATGGATCCCAGAGATAACTGTGCCTGCAGAAGTGTTGTCTCCCCTGGCATACCTACATCCTGGGCAGTGACCCTGTCTGGGGACCTGGAGAGCTCCATGTTGCCTCTGGGTCCTGCTGTGCTGGCTTTGCCAGGGGGACTGGAGTGTGAGTCCCCATATCCCTCCTCTTGCTCCTGGGGGAACAGGCAGTGCTTGCATAGGCAGGTGTAGCCTGATACCTGCATGACCAACAGATACATCCCAAATGTTCAGATGTAAAGAGCCTGAAGAAAGTCACACAACAATCCAATTCCAGGGTCTCAGCTCATTTCCCTAACAGTCTTCTATGCTCCAGACGAGGCTGCAAAATGAGCTTTTCCGAGTACTCACTGGCAAATATTTGAAAGGATTTCAAAACCATTTGATCACTCCATGGCACCACATGGAGTGCATCTTTCCAGCACTGTTCACTTCTTGCTGTACTTGGTTGGATGACAGAGGGAAGCATTTCTGGGCTGGTTCTCTCCCAAACTGGTTGATACTAAACATATTACTGCAAAAGCACAGCTGCTGCCCCTCAGTCGTGGGTTGTAGTCTTTCCTCAGACAATCTTTAAGGATATATTTTCTGTTTCCCAAATTTGGTCAATTGAAAACTAAATAAAAATCCCCTTTCTTGGTTTTTTTTTTTGCAATATGTGTCTGTAGTTAGCACAAGGTGACAGATGATTGATGACTTCTTTACTTGCAAATATTGTAATTCTCCTGTTCTCCTGTTTCCTACAAGCA